GTGTAAGAATTCTCATAGCATATTTGGAATAGCAAAAAAAATTAAAAAAACCCAAGTGATCATAGATAGGAGAGTAGATTATTAAATTATGATGGACACACACAATGGAATATTACATAACTGAAAATGAGCAGATTATAGCTATACACAACCATATCGATGAATCTTAGACATGTAATGTTCAATAAAAATGACTGTTATGGATATACCTTTTTAATGAACTCAAAAACACGTACAACTAAAATATATACTGTTATTGAAAATGTGTAATAAAACTAGTTTTTAAAAAAGCAAGGGAATGAAAATCACAAATTCAAGAGAGTGACTGCTTCTGGGAGCAAGACAAGGGGAAGGAAAACAAATAGTATTAATAATCGTCCAGTTCTAAGCTGGGTGGTAGATTCAACGGTGTATGTTGTATCATTATGCTTTAAGCTTAAATTTATGTAACATTTTTTATGTATTATTTTTGTTGTTGTTGAGAATATACACAGCAAAACATACACCAGTTCAACAGTTTCTGCATGTACGATTTAGTGACATTGATTACATTCTCCAAGGTATGTGACCATTCTCACCCTCCTTTTCTGAGTTGTTCCTCCCCCATTAACATAAATTCACTGCCCCCTAAGGTTCCTATCTAATCTTTTGAACTGCTGTAATCAATTTGATCCCGTATAGATAGTTCTTAAAAGAGCATAATGCTCAAGGCAGATGTTTACTAGTTAAGCTAAACTGCTGTTTGGTTTTAAGAAGACTTCAGGGGATGTTTTTGGTTTAAGGTTTAAACATTATCTCAGGGCAATAGTTTTAAGCATTCATTCCACTTTGTGGCCCAAGGAAGTGTGGAGTCCATGAGAATTTGAAATTCTGTTCTACTTTTCCCCATTTTGATCAGAGTTCTTCTATGGAATCTTTGATCAAAATGCGTAGTAATGGTAGCCGGACACTATCCAGTACTTCAGGTCTCAAGGCAAAGGAGGCAGGTATTCTTGGAGGCAATTAGCTACACATTCCGTATCCTCTTCCTATTTCTTTTTTTTTTAAATTGTACTTTAGATGAAGGTCTCCAGAACTAGTTTCTCATTAAACAGTTAGTACACATATTGTTTTATGAAATTGGTTAATAACCCCACGACATGGCAACATTCTCCCTTCTCGACCTTGGGTTCCCTATTACCAGCTTTCCTGTCCCTTCCTGCCTTCTAGTCCTTGTCCCTGGGCTGATGTGCCCCTTTAGTCTCGTTTCGTTTTATGGGCCCGTCTAATCTTTGGATGAAGGGTGAACCTCGGGAGTGACTTCATTACCGAGCTAAACAGGTGTCCAGGGGCCATATTCTTGGGGTTTCTCCAGTCTCTATCAGGCCAGTAAGTCTGGTCTTTTTTTGTGAGTTAGAATTTTGTTCTACATTTTCCTCCACCTCTGTCCGGGACCCTCTGTTGTGATTCCTGTCAATCCTCCTATTTCTGACTCTCCTCCTTCCTCTATTCAGGCTAATAGAGACTATGTAACATTTTATATGGATCGAAAGTTAAAATATAATTAAGATGAAGATAATTAAAAGAAAATGAATGGGAGCGGGGGGGAAACGGGAATTTTGTCCTGTGTTATTCCATGGAGGGTAACAGTTGGTAAAAATACAGAATCCTTTCCTGGTTGTTAGTAAGGGATGCAAATCAAAGCTGCAGTGAGATACCACTTCACACCCACTAGGATGGCTATGACCAAAAAACTCAGAAAATACAGTGTGTTGGCAAGGATGTGGAGAACTTGGAACCCTTCTCCATTGCTGATGGGAATGCAAAATGGTACAGCCGCTGTGGAAAACGGTTTGGTGGTTCCTCAGAAAGTTCAGCATAGAACTGCCATCGGAACCAGCAGTCCCGGTGCTAGGTATACACTCAGAGAATGGAAAGCAGGAACACCAACAGAAACCTGTACACCAGTGTTCACTGCAGCACTGTTCACGATAGCCTAAAAGCGGGAACAGCCACAATGTCCGTCAGCGAATGAATGGATAAACAGTGTGGTCCGTCCATACAATGGAAACGACTCAGCCGTAAAGAGAGGTGGAGTCCTGATACCCACCACAACATGGACCAACCTTGAACACACGATGCTGAGTGGGATCAGTCCCAAAAGGACAGATACTGTGGGGTCGCGCTCGTACGAAACAGGCCAATGTATAGTGACCAGATTCATTAGTAGTCACCAGGGCTGGGAGGGAGGGGAGAGGGAAAGGCGTTGCTAAGGGGGCTCTGACCTTCTGTTATGGTCGTGGAATAATTCGGAAAAGGATAGTGGTAATGCCTGCGCAACACGAACAGAATCAATGACACTGAATTGTACGTGTGAACGTTGTTGATGTGGCACGTTTCGTTACATGTATGTTTTTACCACAATTAAAAAAAAAAAAAAGGAATGAAGTACCAAGACATGCTGCATGGATCAAACTTAAAAAAGTCATGGTTAGTGAAAAAGCCAGGTACAGAAGGCCCCAGTACTGCATGAGTCCCTTTGTACGAAATGTCCAGACTAGGCAGATCCAGAAACAGAAGTTAGGGTAGTGATTGCCAGGGGCTGTAGGGAGAGGAGAACGGGGAGGGGAGTATTAATGGGTGCGGGTTGCTTTTTGGGGTGATGAAAATGTTGTGGTATGAGATAGTGGTGATGATTGCAGAGCCCTATGAATATACCGGAAACCACTGGACTGTACTCCTCAAATGGGTAGATTGTGTGCTGTATCAGTTATATATTAGTAAAGCTGTTTTTGTTGTTTGTTTTTTAAAGAAAGTATCAGGAATAAAATTGTGGAACGTTTTTACTGTTCTTTTTTATCTTCTTCAGAATCCACTACTCAGCATTTAGAGATTATTCCTGTAGTCTGGCTGCTCCATATTTACACTGGAAAGAAATGTCATGAAATGAAATAAACCATGTGTTCAATTCTGAGCTGTGGACAGTGTGAATTTAATGTTATCAGTTTCTTACTATATCACTGATTATGATTTCCCACTCCTATTGGATTTAGCCCGTTTATCCCTCGGTTTGAAGGGTATGTAAGAGGCACCTCGGAATAAAAGTCTGATGATCTCCTTCTGAAAGATCACAGCTATTGAACACCCTGTGGAGCACAGTTCTGCCCTCCCTGACACACATCGGGTTACCATGAGTCAGAATCACCTTCAAGGCAACCGTTTTTTATAAGTAAACTTAAAAGAATGTGGAAAAATTAAAACCTTTATATTTGTAAAACGAACCGAACATGTTGTGAGAGAAGCTGCTAAATCTCCTTCCCTTATTTAACCAGTTTATAACTGGAGGTACCTAGTAGATCATTTGAGAGCAAACCTAGAGACAGAAGATTGGCTGAATAATTCTTCTAGAGGCTTTTAAAATGCTGATTGCCTCTTTCATCTTCTGGAAATAGAACCTTGTAAGACCTTTTGAATTGTCAGAATTTCTTTGAGGAAAGATTTAATAAGAATGCAGAAATCACCAAGTCTTTTAAAAAAAATAATAGTTGTAAATTTGAGTTCTCACTGCGTATTTGATATTAAAGAACTGTTATATTTTTTTAGGTGTGATAATGGTGTTGTGATTTTGGGTATTTTGTTGTCCTTATCTTTTATAGATACATATTGAAATATTTACAGATGAAATTGTTTTGAAATAATATGAGAGGGTATAAGTGAGTAGGAGGTATAGAGGAAACAAGATTGGCCATAAGTTGGTAATTATTGAAGCTGGGTGATGGGTACATGAGGGTTCATTATAGTATTCCATTTTTATGTATGTTTGAACTTCTGTATAATAAAACATTTAAAAATTAAAATATATATATAGTCAATAAATCGCCTATATAATTAATGTAGAACTTGTTGGAATTTTTTGTCTTGTTTACCTGTCAACCTCTATAGTCACTGGTTGGCTGGCCCAGTAACTGAGGGTCTAGCCCTCTTCTGAGCTCCAGTTTCCGGGAGAATGTGGCATGCAGCACTGCTGGCTCCTCCGTACCCAGGTGTACCCTCACTCTGGTAGTCTAGCTTTGTAGCTGACTGCAGTGTGCCTCCATCTGTCCAGTAGAGCGTACAGTTCCGAGGGACACATCCCAGTGGGGTGATCTGGGGTAAAAAGTGGAGGTATATTGCCTCTCTGAAATTTTCTCTCTGGTTTAGAGTATTCTTTGTAAATGAAGGAACTTGGTACTAATAATTTTTTTAACGAAATGTAATGAAGTAAAGGACTGAAAAACATTCATAGAATGACTTTTTACTCACAAACGAGAAGAATTTATACTATTTTATTAACAGCCTCGTTGATTAATATTTATTCATGAATGAATCCTTATCTTCAGCAGTCACATCATCCTCACCTGATACGGGTTAGTTTTTGACCAGGTCTTCTCTTTATCAGCCCTGGTGACAGAGGAGGTAGCCTCTCAGTCTCTGTATTCCCATACCTGTGAAAAGACAGTGGTTGCTCAGAGAATTGGTTGTATTTCCCAGATTTGACTCACTGAGAAGAGGTGCCTTTCTTTAGATTCTATGTGCTTGCTGAATTAATGTTTGTTGATGAATATTCACTTTAAAAAAAAATTAAGGTGGTTTAGCTAGCAACAAATTAGATCTGATAGAACAGATTTTACCTAGTTAAAATGGAAAAAGGACTTGTGTGTTCTTTTGATCTGCTGACTTGGTATGGGAATCACTTGTGGTCACTTACATCATCAGAGTCTGGGGGATAGCCACACGGAAGTTTGCATGTATCTTTCATCCCTGTTTAAGACATGGGTGAGAGGTTTTTATGTGAGTTGTAGACATGGGTGAAGCTTAAATTTTGGTGACTTTGATGACATTAAACCTAGGGTGAGTGACGGTCTTGGATATTTTGGTATCTGGGATACCCATTCTTTTCTAAGACTGTAATGTTTCTTACAAAATACGAGTTTGTTTTCTCTTACATTCCTTTTTATTTTCTTCTTCCGTTTATTCTTTAGCTGGCAATCCTTTGGTCCAGCAAGGTGGACAGCCGCTCATCCTGACCCAGAATCCAGCCCCAGGTCTGGGCACAATGGTTACCCAACCAGTATTGAGACCTGTCCAGGTCATGCAGAATGCCAATCATGTGACTAGTTCCTCTGTGGCCTCACAACCAATATTCATCACTACACAGGTGAGTTAGGACTCTGAGGGGAATTCTGGATTTGGTAGAGAAGGAGGAAAAGACTGTGAACCTTCGAAGGGGATGATTCAGACAGGGCTCTTGGCATCATTAGAAATGGTTCTAAATCCTGTCTTTTGACCTGGCTTTCTTGTTTGCTGTTTTGTAACTTGATGCTGATGTTTGTAGAAAGCCCAACATAGCATCATGACTGAGTATTCCTCTTCATACCCCTCAGGAGGGCTGTTGAGTGATTTGATTGAGGTCTGGGCACAAATTAGTGGGAAAGCTTGGATTAGGAAACCTTCACAACCCTTTGCTAGAGCTGTTTTTCTTAACATAGGGCGAGTTAGTTGACTTGGAGATATAGGTGTGAAATTGATGAAGTGTGTGGAGGTCTCTGGAAGAGAAGGAAGGTGTTTTCTTTGATATTAGTGTGGTAAATTGAAGGTGAAAGCCTAATTCTGAATGTGGAATGTCAGGGCAAATGCTTCTCTTTGCTTGTGGCTTCATGAGCTACAACCTGTTCTGTTATAAATTTGCCAGAAGTTCATGGTCTTTGAAGTGGATTTTGGAAACAGTTTTTTATGGTCTTTGAAGTGGATTTTGGAAACAATTTCTCAGCACTGTTTATATGTTGAGTCACTCCAGTGAATATGGTCAGTGTCTTTTTTTATTGGCTTCTATGCTTTTTAAACCGAGGTTCGTGTACAACAAGAATTAGGGTTTCGTTTTTGCCCATACATGCCAAAGCTTGCTCTCCAGTTTAATTTGTCACTAAAAATACCAAAATTTTCTTAAATTTCTCCATCTCAGTCATTTAAAAGTTCTAATTCTGGAGAGAGGACCGTTAAATAAGAGTGGGGATGTTTTTGGGGTATAGGTCACATTGCAGTCTCTGCTAGTGTTGGTTGGTTTCCATGTTAAAGATGGTTTTGCTTTTTAATGCAGGGATTTCCTGTAAGGAATGTCCGGCCTGTACAGAATGCAATGAATCAGGTTGGGATTGTACTGAACGTGCAGCAAGGCCAAACGGTTAGACCCATTACTCTAGTCCCAGGTAAGGAGACATACCTAGCCATTGGAATGAAGTGGCGTCCAGAAGATTTGTTTTTGTCATTTCAGAATACTCTAGGTCTTTTTAAAAATCTACTTAAAGAAAATATAAAAATCTTTTTAACCTTTGGCCAGGATTGTGGTTTTATTAATTATTCTTTTTAGCTTTACGTCACCTGTCCTTAGATAACGAGTCCGGGTTTATGGAGTCATTTCTTCTGAATCTGGTGTTTCAGCCAGCTATGAAGTTTGTTTTCCTGAAGGAATATTATTGTAAACGCCCAAATTCCATATTCCTTGTAAGTTGACTCACTTACATGATGGGATTATAAACTGTTTTTGTAGCATAAATTTTGGGTATAAATTAAACAAATGACATATCCTTTGTGGATAAGTATTGCCAAAGACTAAATAGTATTTTTTCTTTTTTTTTAAGAAACGAAATTGAAAGATAATTTTTAAAAATCTTATAACTTTTTCTGGGTTCTTTATTTTGTATCTGTGAATTTACTACAATTCAGGCCCCACAAAGGGTATCTAAATGTAGTTGTTTGTAAGGATGCCTCTGTAGCTTGTCTTCCGAAGTTTCTTGTTTTTGTTCTCAGGGCTTACAGAGCTTTTTTGGCCTTCAGTCTGATCCACTTACCCTCTCAAGTTCTGGTATTTCTGAAATATTTCTCAGTGGAATTGTCTGCAGCTGAGCCAGGAGACACACTGCTTTGGGACATCCTAGCAGAGTGACATAGTCAGTCTTCTGTTGGAGTTTATACGAGAGGATGGAAGACTGCCTTAGTCCACTGAGAAAGAAGGGTTCCTTTTATCAGGACCAAGTCTGCCCTTGGGCTGATAAACATCCATACTGCCTCCCATTCTGTACCCACCCTTTGTCTTCTAACACCAAGATCAAGCTATTTCTGACTGTTGTTGTTGCAATAGAAAAGGCAGTGTGGTAAGGTGTTTTCGGAGGAATTGATGGGAATCTGCTTCAGTTTAACCTTCTTAGAGCTGGTCTCCTAGGCTGTTTTGTGTTCATTTATTTTACCTGCTTGGACGCCTGTTGCTTTCTTAGACTTTAGAATCTATACTACTGTTGGTAATCCCTGCTGATTGCCAGTTTGGAGAAGGAATCGTTTCCTATCCTGCTACTTCCAGTAAAGCCAGGGAGTCTGTATTCTAGGGGAGCTCATTGACCAAGATGTGGTACTTGTCTGTGTCTGTCTTTTGAAGCCCCAGGCACCCAGTTTGTTAAGCCGACGGTTGGAGTCCCGCAGGTGTTCTCCCAGATGGCCCCAGTGAGACCAGGCTCCACGATGCCCGTGCGGCCGACCACCAACACCTTCACCACCGTCATCCCGGCCACGCTCACCATTCGAAGCACCGTCCCACAGTCCCAGTCCCAGCAGACCAAGTCCACTCCCAGCACCTCCACCACTCCCACTGCCACCCAGCCCACCTCACTGGGCCAGCTAGCTGTGCAGTCTCCAGGCCAGTCCAGCCAGACCCCGAATCCGAAGCTAGGTGAGGGTTGGGAGGAGGAGATGGCCGAGCCGGGGTGGGTGGTGGGTGGAGAACAGATGGTTCTCACTTGGCCCACATAGCTCCCTCCTTCCCCTCTCCACCTGCAGTGAGCATCGCCAGCTTTGTCACTGTGAAGCGACCTGGAGTTACAGGTGAAAATAGCAGTGAAGTAGCCAAACTGGTGAATACCCTTAACACCATCCCTTCCCTGGGCCAGAGTCCTGGGCCGATGGTCGTGTCCAACAGCAGCCCAGCTCATGGCTCTCAGAGAACCAGCGGACCTGAGTCTTCAGTGAAAGGTACCTGGGAGGCCCTCAGCAGGCAGTCGTTCAAAAGTGTTAATAAAGTGTTTGTTGTATTAGAGCTTTGTACTCTGAAGGACAGAAAGGAAATAGGATGTAGTTGCTACAGTCTTTCTACAGAAGATTTTAGAAGTAGAGGGGATAACTCTCTGTGAAAAGTGTAAGTGAATCGGCTACAAGGAATTCTGTGTGGAATTATGCTTTGGGGATTAGTGTGATCAGAGGGGTGGGATAATCAAAGATAGCTTCATGGAAGAGGTGGTTTTTTGAACAAGATTTTAAAGTTGGGATTTGATAAAGAGGTTTTCAGGTGAAGAAAAATACAAGCATGAGGGTTTTCAGTGGCCTAGAGCAGGGGTTGACAAACTTTTTGGTAGAACGCCCGCTTGTAAGTATTTCAGGCTTTGTTCACCATATGGTCTCTGTTGCCCCTGCTCATTTTTGCCATTATGGTGGGAAAGTGGCTGTAGACGAAACGTAAATGAGTGAACGTGGCTGGCCTCCCCAGAAACTGTATTTATGGGCTCTGAAATTTTAATTTCTGTAATTTTCGTGTGACACAAAATTTTCCTCTTTTGATTTTATTTCAGTTGTCTAGAAATGTAAAAACCATCGTTAGCTTGTGGGCCATCCAGAAGCAGGTGGCTGGGTGGATTTGGCCTGCAGGCCGTGGCTTGCCCACCCCTGGCCTCCAGTTAAAAAACAGGAAAAGGAGTGTGTCTCATAACAGTGACCTCGTGCCTGCTTTCCCCGTGGCACACGTCTCGGGAGGGGGTGGCCTTTCTGCAGAAGGGCAGAAACCTTTTCCACTGCTGTCTTATCAGCCTCACCGATGCTTCTCGCTTCTTTCAGTGACTTCTCCCATCCCAGTGTTTGATCTCCAGGACGGTGGGCGGAAAACCTGTCCACGGTGTAACGCTCAGTTCCGTATTACTGAAGCTTTGCGAGGTCACATGTGTGTAAGTGATGCCACCCGAGCTGAGGCTCCAGCTTAAGTGACTACTGCCGTGTCCCTCCTTAGCGTGGGGAGCTTGTGAGGCAGAGGCTCTGAAGTGACTTGGAAGCAAGCTTTTTAGAGGGTCACGCCTGTTTTGGCCTGTTAGAGGAGAGTTATGCCGTTTGGGATGCGATGGAACGCGTTTAAAAGACCCTAAGATTAGAACATGTATGGCCTTCCTTCCTTAGCTGTGGTCGATTTTGAAACTGCACAGGAAGACAGGTGTCAGGTGTGCTAGAGAATAAGAACTCAACCAAGTTGGCTGCAGCTCATTTTCTGTTTATCCTGTGGCTGAATAGATCAGGAGCTGTAGCCCAGTTCCTATTCCCTAGCTTTTTTATTTTTTGGTATTAGCCCAGATGCAGGGATGGCGTATTATTCTTGCCAGGAAGCTCAGAGCCAGATTATGTTAGCGAGGGGCTAAGGGAATCTAAGGCAGGAGGAAGAAGTCCAAGGTAAGGTGTTTGTTAGAAAAGGAGGGAAACGTGGATACGCTGTGGGAAACTGGATAGGAATACCTGAAACCAGACTGTGCCGAGGGAGATTAGTGAAGCTGGGAGGTTAGCAGAATCTAGCTCCCGGGATAACCAAAGTGAGCCAGTATTCTGTTTCGTTATAGTACTGTTGCCCAGAAATGGTCGAATACTTGAAAAAAGGGAAGTCTTTGGATTCAGAGCCCAGCGTCCCATCCACAGCAAAGCCCCCTTCCCCTGAGAAAACAGCTCCTGGGGCCTCTACACCCTCTTCTACGCCCATTCCTGCCCTGTCTCCACCTGCCAAGGTGCCGGAGCCGCATGAAAACGTGGGCGATGCGGTCCAGACCAAGCTCATCATGCTCGTGGATGACTTCTACTATGGGCGCGACGGAGGCAAAGTAGCCCAGCTCACAAATTTCCCTAAGGTCGCCACGTCGTTCCGATGCCCCCACTGTACCAAAAGGCTAAAAAACAACATTCGGTAAGTGTTACAGAGCCTTTGAGGCTGTTACCTTGGACAAGAGAAGGCTGAACTTCCTTACAGATTTAAGTCTTTCTCTTGGGAGAATGGTCTGAATGCTTGTCCAGTCTTGGTGAGGACATCATTAAATCAGTAACTAGTACTATAGAACAGGAGGTACGGTGGTAATACACGAAAGGTAACTTGGGCTGAGGAGCCCTGGTGGCGCATACGGTTACGCGCTGGGCTGCTAACCAAAAGGTGGGTGATTCAAACCCACCCAGTAGCTCCACGGGAGAAAGACCTGGCAGTCTGCTTATCAGTTCTCCAGTCACAGAATTCTTACTAGTTTCAAGAACCCATAATTTTTCTGGCCTCAGAAAAGGACTGTCCCAAACAGAAGAAATAGCTGGCGCTGGGAGGGGGGAAGGGCAGGGACTCTGTTGTGTGATTCTCCTGTTGTGTTTCCTACAGACTGCTGATTTTAACGTGATCCCTCTGTTGTTCTTTGTGCTGCACCACAGATTCATGAACCATATGAAACACCATGTAGAACTCGATCAGCAGAATGGCGAGGTGGATGGTCATACTATCTGCCAGCACTGTTACCGCCAGTTCTCCACACCGTTCCAGCTCCAGTGCCACCTGGAAAATGTTCACAGTCCCTACGAATCGACTAGTAAGTTTGGAAACTCTTACACTCGCTTTTCACTCACGGACTGGTCCTAGTGGGAACCCAGCACCTGTTAAATTTATTTATATTGGGTAACATTGTAGTACTTTTCATCTTTGTAGCTAATTCTTTACTTCACTTCCCCTGGTTTCTTCCAAGCCTGGCGTCTGTTCTGTTCAAGCATGGATTGATCCTGGATTTAATATTAGGGACTTGGGTTTAAGACCGCTGTCGAGAGACAGCTGTAATGGATTTATCACCGAGACCCTTTTGTAGAAGCAGGCGTCTGTATTTGGATCTCCACTTTCGTTAGTATTCTGATAGGCTTTTTGTAGGATAAAGATAATGCTATTATAAAATACTTTGTCACTAAGAAAGTGCTTTGGACATAATTTCAATGAAATGTGACTTCGTGTGTTTGCAGGTGAGGGAACACAAGCTCAGAAAAATTGAGTCATTTGGAAAAGAGTGATCAACTCTAGTGAGGTGATAAAAATGAGAGTCTGAGCTCAGTTTTCTAGAATATTTCTAAATCCTCGAAGAGGTCTCCAGTATGTTTTTTTCTTTTTTGAAAATATACGCAACAAAACCCACTGCCGTTCAGCAGTTTCTAGATACAGTGATCAGTGACATTGGTTACGTTCTTCACATTGTGTCAATATTCTCGTTACTTCTCTTCTAGTTAGTTCACTCCCATTGACCTACACTCCCTGCCCTCCAGCCTTCTCATCTGTACTTTAAAATAGCTATTGTCCATTTGGTCTCATGTAGATAATTTTTTTAAAAAAAGAACGCAGTACTGAAGGGTGATCATCTTTACTTTCGGAGCTAAACTGTTACTCGTTTGAAGGTGACTTCCTGGGGTAGTTTTGATTCAAGGTTTGAAGATTAACTCAAGGTAATAAATAGTCCTGGGGACTCCTCCAGCCTCAGTAGAACCAGTAAGTCTGGATTCGTTAAGAATTTGAAGATCTGTTCCACGTTTTCCTCCCTTTCTGTCCGTGTCCATCTGTTGTGCCCTGATCAGAGTGTTCAGTAGTGTGACCAGGCACCGTCTAGTTCTTCTGTCTCCGGGTCGAGGAGGCAGTGGTTCATGAAGACAGTTAGTCCTGTAGTTCAGTTCCTTCTCCCGTTTGTGGGTTTCCTTCTTTCTCTTCTGTTCTGGACAAATAGAGACCAATAATTGTAGCTCAGATGGCTGCTTGTAGGGTTTTAAGACCCAGACACTACTCACCATACTGGTTGATGGCACCTAAGCTTGAAGAACTGTATTGGTGCCAGTTGGATTGTCCCATAAGAAAGGGTCTTCAGTTTCGTCGAGGAGACAGAAATTATGTAAATAAAGGAAGATGCGAGAACAAGACAGTCTCTTAGAAACATGTGCGTTTGAGACACCAGCGATAGGGGAGATCGTTTAGAGAAGGGGGATCCCGGCAGCCAGGCTTCACGGAGAGGAGACTTACACTGGGTCATTGACTGCTGGAAGGATTTGGGTGGATGGAAGGTAGTAAAGGCTTTTAGCTGGTGGAAAACAGCATGAACAGCAGCATAAGGGCAGAAATAAGCATGTTAGCTGTATGCTTTGCCTGCAGATTAAAAACCTTGACTAAAAATGAGTTAAACATTAAGGACATCTGTTATCATTTAGAGGTCTACAGGTGGAGTAGGCTTCAGACCCAGAACATGAGTGCCCTGCTCAGCTTCTCTGCAATTCTTTTCATCTCTGGAAAGGTAGCTGCGTTAGTCTCAGGCATTACAGGCAGACACAAAATTGTCCAGAGGAAGAAGAGACGGTGTCTTCCTGGGTCTTCCCTGAATCTGTTTCTCACTGGTGAGAGAAGTTTTCCCTTGTATCTCCTTGGCCAGAGTGGGTCATAAGCTCACTCCTAAACTAGTTATTGGCGAGGGGAATGGAATCCATGGAGGCTTAGGCCAGCGGTGGTGAATAGAAATGTAATGAAAATTTTTTTAGTAGCCATTTTAAGTATAGTAAAAAGAAACAGGTGAAATTAATTTTAATAGAACTCAGTATATCCAAAATATAATCATTTCAACATGTAACCAGAATATGAAATTATTGAGTTTTTTGTTTGCTTTATTTAAAAAATAGGACATTTTAAAAAATCTGGTGTGTATGTGACACTTACAGCACTTCTCAGTTGTTCAGGAACCACGCGGCTGGTGGCTACCCCCTTGGATAATGCAGCCTCGGACTAGTCACTTGGGAGTAAGATCCCTGCTAGAATTAACTGTCGTGATGCTGCCGTGTAGTGGCAGAGCAGCCTGCTTGGTCTAGGTTAGGACCCAAAACCGCACCATCGTGAGAAGCTAGACTAACGCGTCTGCACCTCGCATTGAGGGCGCCTGACTGGCTTTGCATGGGAGCTTGCGGGAGGCTGTCATTCCATTTGTATCTGGGATCTGTGTCGGGAAGGTAACTTCTCCTCATGCAGGAGAAACACACTGCGGAACCTCACTCATCTGCTTGTATTGGCTTCCCATTCTGTTACCCCTGACTTACCATTTTTTAGTATCTCATAATGTAAAATTTACATTGATCAATCATTGTTGACTCAAACAGGTAAATATCTTTCTTTGGTTTGTATCAGTTACATCCTTGAATTTTTTGTGTGTGTGTGACCTTTTTTGAACCCATGACAAACTCTGCGTGAAAGTAGCTTATTTTTTAATGCTAATATTTTGGGACTCATTGCTTTTTAATTTTGAAAAATTTCAAACACTAAGAGAATAGCAGAGATAACAGTATGATGACCACTCCCTGCCCCCAAATACACCCATCATCCAGATTTAACACATTTTTTTCCTTTATTTTCTGAATTGCTTTTCAGTTAAATTGCAGACATCACGACCACTTCCCCCCTACATAAGTATATATCTCTAAATCATAAGGACTTTTTCCTGTATATACCCAGAATACATTTGACAGAATGAACCACGAATCCTTACTATCATCTAATACCTAGGCGTTTTCACATGTCCTGAGTTTTTCCCAGAACATGACTGAATCATTATATTTAATTATGGTAACAGTGTAATGTTAATAGCCCTGCATTTTTCTTCACACTTGCTTAATGGCAGCGCGTGACTTCATGAAGCCTGTGTGGGTTCCAGGGTTCTTGCAGATATTTGCTTAATGTTCCTTCTTAGTCTTTGTATTGATGTCTCATACAGAGGTCTTAACCTGCTCAGCCTTTAGCTTTCTTGTGAACCTCTTGAAATCATACACAAACTGTGTCTGTGTGTGCGTGCACGCGCGCGCGTATTTTTCAGGCAAAAGGTTGCATAGCTTTCATTGGAGTCTCAGAAGGGACCAGGACTCAAAAATGATTAAGACTTTTTTCCATAGTGGGTATCCTAAAATTCATTTTTTTCAAGTTTTTTAGTATGGCCCTTCCTGGCACCATTACCAGCCCCTTCTTAGCACCCAGTTAAGGGCAACAGATACAGATGACTCTTCTAATCTTTCAAAAAATTCTTACACTGGTGGAGAGGTGAAAGAACAGTAGACTGAGGGAGAGGTAGAATCGAGGAAGAGATGCTTCACAGGCTTCACCATATTCATTGTCGAGGAAGAGCCGTTGTGGAAGAAAAGGTTCAAGAGGGAAGACTAAGTGCTAAGTCTCGTCATACATGGAATGTGAGGTTGGTGAGCCTTCGAAAGTAATCAGGGTTTATCCTTCCATAAATTTGGAAAACAGGAAGCTGACGTGCAGAAGTTGCCTATTTCAAAGTGTTCAAGACAAATGTAGGTGTTGTAGAGGCGAGGGTGATAGAACTGGGAGGGGGGACATTAGGATTTTTTAAGAAAACAGTAGTTTGGTATAGCCATTATGGAAAATTGGTTTATTCTCCCTCTTGAATCTTTATCCACACTGGCTGCTTCTGTGAACAGATGTCAAAGGTTACTTAAAAAACCAGCTGTTGTCGGGCGGACTCCAACTCATGGTTCCCCCGTGTGTGTCCGTAGAACCGTTCTCCATAGGGTGTCCGGTGGCTGATTTTTCAGAAGTTAGATTGCCAGGCCTTTTCTTCCTAGGCCCCTAGGATTCTTAAATCCACTGGGTCACTAGCTCACTGTTTTCTTGATAGGGGATGATAACATAAATCTTGGTATGGTACGTGGGCATTTAGAAATCGCTTAATAAGTGTTGCTATTATTACTGTTATTATTGATGTGTGATAGCTGTGACATTACAGCTGGCCTGTAGATTTTAGGAAAAGCCTTTGAGATTGAATGAGACTACCCAGGGAAAACATATAGAATAAAAAGGACTTGGGCAGAACGTTAGAAAACACAAACGCTTAAAGATGTTCTAGAAAAGAAAAAAGGAAGTAAAAGAGATAAGCGAGTGAAGAGGTAGGAGGGGGCCAGAGAAATACTGTCATGCTGTCGGTCACTGCTCCCAGGGACAGCACGCACACCCGCAGCTCCGTGTCTTCACTCCTGCTGTTCTCTGGGCCCCTCACTTGGCAGACCCTTCCTCCTCTTCCAGAGTTTAACTTCTGCGCCATCCTGCAGCTTTTCCTTATTCCTCTAGGCGGAATTTCGTACATCCTTGTCTGCATCTTCATAACACACAACACAGCTCTCGCAGTGGTTCTCAACGGATTGCAGACCCCTAAGAGAATAAGCACAAAACCTGCGAACCTCTTACCCGAAAAATACACATTTTACTCTTTTGCAGATAATTGGGGATGCATGGGTTCCCTGAGACCTATTCCATAGGCCTCCGATTAAGAACCTCTAGTTTTGTTTGTTACACTTTAAGGAATTATTTTAGCTTCACTCGTTTATTTTTTTGGATTAGACATTGTCCAGTAAATGCCTAAAGCTTTGAATTGGAAATTTCCATATTTGCAAACACTTGATGAAAATAATTCCAGTGAAAGTAAGAAAAATACAAAGAACTGTTTTGCCTGTATAACTGAAAATATGGAGCAATTAGACATTTTAACCAAGAATTTAGAATTGCAACCTCAGAAGTTTGACAAAATGGCTACATTCAAAGTTTAATTATCTTGAATTTGTTAATACTAAAAAAAAAAACAATAACAAGGCAAGAACTTCTGTTCGTGACTGTCGGTCCTTTGAGGGAAAACTCTTATTTGTTCTCATTGAGTACATTTGTTGAATTATTCATAGGAGATAATTATTGTCTGTCCTGGAGCAGAGGAATGCAGTAATGCATTAGTGTTTGAAAAGAATCTGACAATGGCTTGTTAAGAGTAGATACTGTACAGGTTTATCGGAGAGATTGGAGGTACGGAAAACCAGCTGATTTTCGGGAGGAAATAATAGGGGTTTCTACCACGTTTTTGTCTGTGAATGTCTAGAAGTGACAGTCCTGAGGCGTTTTGGAAAATACGGTAACAGGACACAGGATTTGGAGTTGGATGGTGCCGAGGTTTTGAGCTCAGGAGATGAGAAGGGAAACGGTGGGGCAGCCGGAGGGTGCAGAGTTAAGTTAGAGTTGATGGTAGGATGTCCAGTTGTTAGTGTCTTGTAGGTAATTCAGAATCTAGAAGTGGGACTTTGATGAGTTACCAGCAGCAGGATGTACAGATGGAACCGTCTTGAAGAAGCAGCAGAAGGAATGAGATGATTTCCTGATCACTAGAAGTGAAGATCCAGGACTGAGAGAAAATAAAGACTGAGTCGGCGGGACTTCGATCTTATTTTCAGTGTATTTACTGATTGTGTTTCTCCTTACAGCCAAGTGCAAGATCTGCGAGTGGGCGTTTGAGAGTGAGCCCCTGTTTCTCCAGCATATGAAGGACACTCATAAGCCTGGAGAGATGCCTTATGTTTGCCAGGTATTGCCCCTTTCTGCAGGAAGCTTTAGCCATTTGTCTTCCGGGTTGAATACAGAGGACTCACTAGTCAGCATTGCTCGATGCCTACTGCATACACTCAGCTTTAGGGCCTCTGAAGAGATACGGAAAAATTAATAAACAGTTTCCGGCTTCAGGACATAGCCAGCCAGGGAAGAGGTGCGTGTACTGAGGGGAAGGGTGGGATTGTCTGTCTCCTGAACTTGTCCTCTGGAGGTGGACAGAGAAAACCTCACTTTCCTTACTGGTAGCATATGGACCATACTCAGACCTTCTGTCCTCCCACATTTTTATTTTAAGTCACAGCTGGATTGATCACAAACACAGCCCTGTGTTACAGAGTCAGAAAAAATAATGTCTGTACATCTTCCATATTTTTCTGTTTTTGTTGCCACTTGTTTGGGAAGCCCTCGGGTGTTCACCCCCTTCTTCGCCTGGTTTTCCCTCTCTGTGACCCAGGTGTGTCAGTACCGCTCCTCGCTCTACTCTGAGGTGGACGTTCACTTCCGGATGATCCACGAGGATACCCGGCACCTGCTCTGCCCTTACTGCCTGAAGGTCTTCAAAAATGGCAACGCATTCCAGCAGCATTACATGCGACACCAGGTACCAGCCACCACGCAGCACCCATGTTCTTTTTGGATGAACGCTGGGGCCAGGACTGAACTAGGCAAATAATTCTGGTAGAGAAGAGAATACACATTCGTTTGCAAAAGTTTATTAGGTTTCTGTTGAGCCATGCACTCTGCTAGGTGGTAGAGATTAGTGTTAAACAGGAGCATCTAGGAAAGTGTGTACCTGTCCTGGGGGCTGGCGAGGCTTCCAGGAGAAGTGGTGGTGTTCCAGGCCCGAGGGATAAGTGAGGAGGAGCCGGCTGAGCTGGGCCGTGCCCCCGAAGGCCCTCCACAGGGTGTGCCGCAGGGTCAGGAGATGGAGAGCAGCTCAGTGTGACTGAAGTGCAGGGTACAAGGAGGAGGTCGGGTGCCTTTAAGGATTCCATCTCCCCTTCTCCTTCAGAAGAGAAATGTTTATCACTGCAACAAATGCCGGCTGCAGTTTCTGTTTGCCAAGGACAAGATCGAACACAAGCTCCAGCATCATAAAACCTTCCGTAAACCGAAGCAGCTGGAAGGCCTGAAACCAGGCACCAAGGTAAAGGCTTTGCCAGTCTCCTTTACAGACTGGTAGGAAAGGAATGTAGAGTTCAGTGTTCTGAGGTTCAGTGTGGGCGGTGTCTCATTCCACCCTTCCTCTTGGCTCACAGGTGACAATCCGGGCTTCCCGAGGGCAGCCACGAGCTGTTCCTGTACCTTCCAGTGATACACCTCCCAGCGCCTTGCAGGAGGCAGCGCCACTGACCTCCTCAGCGGACCCTCTGCCTGTCTTCCTTTATCGCCCCGTTCAACGCAACATCCAAAAGAGAGCCGTTCGGAAAATGTCAGCGCCTTCTTCTAAATGCTGGGCGGGCGGGGGCTGGACGGGCAGGATTGATCCTGATAGCCAGTGCAGGCTGGTAGCGATCTAAAGCCCCTCCCGTCTGGGGACCCGGGGGGCAGTAACGAGGTTTCCCTTGCGTCTTGACAGGAGCGTCATGGGCCGGCAGACGTGTCTGGAGTGCAGCTTTGAGATCCCGGATTTCCCTAACCATTTCCCCACTTACGTCCACTGCTCTCTGTGCCGCTACAGCACCTGCTGCTCTCGGGCCTACGCCAACCACATGATCAAGTAGGTCACGTGATGAGAGCGACCGTTCCTGCCGGGAACGTCCGGTCTCCAGAACTCATTTTGTTCCCTCCCCTGCTCCCGTTAGGTTTCCTTCTCCAGCTTTCAGAGTTGTTTGTCCGTCTCTCCTGTCAGCGCGAGAGGCCACAGCCATGTTCATTGGGCTTCAGTGGCCTGTGCTTTAGTTTGGGAGGACCTTGTCACTCGGCCGTGTTCCAGCATCACACGGGAGCTTGTTAGAAATGCAGGCTCTCGGGCCCCGCCCAGGCCTACAGAGTCAGTGTTCATTTTAATGGATCCCCTGGTGATTCGTGTGCATATTGAAGTTTAAGAAGCACTGTGGTAGGAGAAGGGGCCCTGGTGGCACAGTGGTTATGACCAAAAGGTCAGCAGTTGGAATCCACCTTGGAAACGGTGTGGGGCAGTTCTCCTCTGTCCTGTAGGGTCATTATGAGTCAGAATCGACTCGACGGCAACGAGTTTTTGGTGCTGGGAAAACTGGCTTGGGCTGGGGTTAGGATGGGTCGCAGAGAGGCGTCTTTTATTGGGGGCATTGGCTGGTGACCCCTAGTTTCGCTGGCAGAGCCCGATAACTGATAACACTTCTCCTTTGTCGTTTTCAGCAATCATGTTCCAAGAAAGAGCCCCAAGTATTTGGCTTTGTTTAAAAATTCTGTGAGGTGAGGAAAAGCCTATTGGTTGTCTCTTAATTGTTCAACTTTTTCCATGAAATCCTCTTAATTATTTTGGAGAGTGGGTATGTGAATTGATTTGAGGGAAGGGAGAAAGGGAGGGCGCGCTCCTGTACGGAGGCTCCGAGCTCTCTCTGGTGTCACTGCTGTGATCTCTCGTATGTCCTCACTCTCTCTCTCAGTGGAAGCAAGCTGGCCTGCACTTCGTGTACCTTTGTTACCTCTGTGGGAGATGCCATGGCCAAGCATTTAGTGTTCAACCCCTCTCACAGATCCAGCAACATCCTGCCGCGGGGTAAGTGGGAGAGATGGGGGTAAGCTGGTGGAACCAGAGGAGAAAAAAAAGATCCAGGATCCAAGTCATACGTATAAGTCAGGAGGAGCATCCCTGTCTGGCCTAACCCATTCCCTGTTTAGAATATATTGCACCAGATTGAAAGCCTCCTAACTTGAAGAGTATAAGGCTGGAAGGTTGGTCAGTGTGAGGGGTATTATTTTTGTGTAGTGGGTGTGCGTTTTTGGTTGAAAGCCAAGAACACTGTCTTTGTTTCTTGTTTCTTCATTGAGCTAACTTTGTTTTGGTCTCATTTTCCGTAGGACTCACTTGGATATCTCACTCAAGGTAAGAAGAGCTCTCACTTCGTGGTTCCCTTTCTGTTTTGCAGTGTGTTTGGTCTTTGTTGTTATTTTCCTAGTGTAATTGAGCTTTCTTCTCCTCCCTTTGCTGTCTCACCCCCTTTTAGGCACGGCCAGACCCGTGACCGAGTACATGACCGGAACGTGAAGAATATGTACCCACCTCGTTCCTTCCCTCCCAGCAAAGCTGTCACTGTGAAGTCCGCGGAGGCCAACCCAGCTGAGCCTGAAGCGCTCCCAGCCCCCATGGCCCAGGCACTCCCGTCACCAGCCTCTACTGCAACACCACCCCCCACCCCCACTCACCCCCAGCCCTTAGCCCTTCCGCCCTTGCCTGCAGAGGAGGCCGAAGGTATGAATGTTGACGATCAGGATGAGGGGAGCCCCCTAACCCAGGAAGCCGAGCCGGCGTCAGGTGGGGGTAGTAGCAGTGGAGTTGGCAAGAAGGAGCAGCTGTCTGTGAAGAAGCTCCGAGTGGTACTGTTCGCCCTGTGCTGCAATACAGAACAGGCAGCCGAGCACTTCCGAAACCCCCAGCGACGTATTCGGCGTTGGCTTCGGCGTTTCCAGGCCTCCCAGGGGGAGAATCTCGAGGGCAAATACCTGAGCTTAGAGGCAGAGGAGAAACTGGCCGAGTGGGTGCTTACCCAGCGTGAGCAGCAGCTCCCTGTGAATGAGGAGACCTTGTTCCAGAAGGCCACCAAAATAGGACGATCTTTGGAGGGGGGTTTTAAGATCTCCTACGAGTGGGCTGTGCGCTTCATGCTGCGCCACCACCTGACTCCCCATGCCCGGCGAGCTGTGGCCCACACCCTCCCCAAGGATGTGGCGGAGAACGCAGGACTCTTTATTGAGTTTGTCCAACGGCAGATTCACAACCAGGACTTACCCTTGTCTATGATCGTGGCTATTGACGAGATCTCTCTGTTCCTGGATACAGAGGTGCTGAGCAGTGATGACCGAAAGGAGAACGCCCTGCAGACAGTGGGCACAGGCGAGCCTTGGTGCGATGTGGTGCTGGCCATTCTGGCGGATGGCACTGTCCTGCCCACCCTGGTTTTCTACCGGGGGCAGATGGATCAGCCTGCTGACGTGCCCGACTCCATATTGCTGGAGGCCAAGGAGAGCGGCTACAGCGATGATGAGATCATGGAGCTGTGGTCTGCCCGCGTGTGGCAGAAGCACACGGCGTGCCAGCGCAGCAAAGGCATGCTGGTGATGGACTGTCACCGCACGCACTTGTCGGAGGAGGTGCTGGCTCTGCTGAGTGCCTCCAGCACATTGCCTGCGGTGGTCCCGGCAGGCTGTAGCTCCAAAATCCAGCCCTTGGATGTGTGTATCAAACGAACTGTCAAGAACTTCCTGCACAAAAAATGGAAGGAGCAGGCTCGGGAAATGGCAGACACTGCTTGTGATTCTGATGTCCTCCTTCAGCTGGTGCTGGCCTGGCTGGGTGAAGTGCTGGGCGTCATTGGGGACTGTCCGGAGCTAGTTCAGCGGTCCTTCCTCGTGGCTAGTGTCCTGCCCGGCCCCGACGGGAACCTTAACTCACCTACCAGGAACGCTGACATGCAGGAGGAGCTCATTGCCTCCCTAGAGGAGCAGCTGAAGCTAAGTGGGGACCAGTCTGAGGAGGCCTCTGCATCCACTCCCCGGCCCCGGTCATCTCCGGAAGAGACGTTCGAGCCCGAAAGCCTCCACCAGCTCTTTGAGGGAGAAAGTGAAACCGAGTCTTTCTATGGCTTTGAAGAAGCCGACCTGGATCTGACGGAGATCTGAGCACCAGGCCATGAGGGAGAGCCGAGGGGTCTAGGCAGAAAGGGGCGTACCAGGTGGGGTATTGGATTGCTGTTTTTAAATATGCCACCGCTCCCCCAGTGCTGACTTACACTTCCCTGTGGATTTGTGGATTATTAGAAAAACCAATCGTGATCACGTCTGAGCCGAGGAGCTGGCCCACTTCTGCTAAAAACAGGTTTTTGTGACTTTTTTTAAAAAAAAAATTAAAATCACTGTGTTTGGTATTTTTCTGACAAAATCAAGAAAAAGAAAAAAAAAATCCTTCGTGGGTGAATGTTAAAATGTTTGCGTTTCCCCTCTTACCTCAATTGTATCATAGTACTTCCAGGTTGTTTGTTTTTGTGTGGCCAGCGTCTTTGGGCATGATGCTATCTAACCATTGTCCGTGTGAGAACATTTCTGAAGATGGGAAAGACAAATGTGTAGCTCATAAACTGGTTTATTATATATATGGATAAAAACCTTTTTTCATTGTGGTCTTAACACTTTTATATAAAAATGAAAATGGAAAAAAAAAAATCCCACTGAACTCTTTTTTCCTTCTCCTTTTCTTTCCTTCCCTCTCCAGAGATGTTGGTTTCTACAGCAACTCTAGATAAAAAATTGTGGCTTTAAAACTGCATGAAAACCACCTTTAATTATCTAGAATGACGAATAGATTTGTCTTTCCTCATCCCGCCCCCCTTCTCTCCAACACAACAAAAACAATTCTCTTTGCACTTGGCGCCCCTGACCCCTTTCCCTGTTCGCACACCGTCGCTCCGGACAAAGGATCATACCCTGGTCATTAGCCAGAAAGAAGGACCTTGGCTATCAGAGTGTCAGGGCGGAAGCCGTTCCCAGCTGTGCGTCTTCATCCTCCAGGCTCCCAGGGACAATCCTACTTTGTAGAACTTCTGCTGTTCCGTGGACAGTGTGCCTGTTCAAGAGATGACCTGTCCTGCAGCCAGGAGCTAATGTGCAAGAAGCGTTGAACTTCAGGAAGACAAAACTAGTTGGTGAAGTTCTGCTTTGACCCTGTGGCTTCCCTGCGTTTCTCTTAGAGCTTAGAGGAGAATCTGAAATGAAGAAACACACCGGGGTCTGCACAGAGAAAGACACGAATCTTTATTTTTCACTGCCAGCTTCAAGGAAAGAACATTTTTTCTACAATTTGCATGTGAGGTTTTTTTTTTTTAACTGTATGTACTTATGGTTATAAACTGAGATGTACTGTAATACAGCGAGAAAAGGAGCAAAAAACCAAGTCCACCGTGCCACTGCTCTGCCACTCCGTCCACCCTGAGGCTTGCAGCAGTCTTCCCTCCTGTGAGCCCAGGAGGCGACCCGCACAGGCGTGGAAATGGTTCGTCTTTCAAATGTACATACGTGGAAGTTCATAAAATGAGGGAAATGGATTTATAACCAACGCTTTTTTCTAGGTGACCCTGTTTAATAGGCTTTCAGACCGGGAGATGCTCAGGGTGTGATGGGCCTAGTGGTACAGGTGTGACATTTGTTACCACTGTTTCTCCTCCCTTTTTTGTTTTTTAACGCCCAGCACACTATAATATAGTGAACTGGAGTGAGCCCTCCCAGAAATAGCTTGGCCAGCTTTGTGAACCCGTGGCATCTGAGAACTCAACTGAGGGTCATCTGGGCTTTTTGTCCCCAGCTTTTTGCCTGATGCCATTTTATTGACACAATAATGGACTTTCAAGTCGACCCTTTGCCTTTGAGAAAGTTCAAGAACTATTGATTGGTCAGCTCCATCTATAAGGACCTAATCCCTCTGGCAGTCTCCACAGCAGCCACAGCCTTAGCAGAGCTGGGTTCCTGGCCTCTGCACACTATGACTTTCTTAGTTTTTTTAAAGACCATAGTACCAACAGTGGATCAGCTGGGTTTTGGCCAAGAAGTTACCTTTGTGGACTCTGCCTGCATGGCTTAGTAGTAGAAGGAAGTTTTTTTGTTGTTTTTTTTTTTAATAATTCAGTTTAATCAATAAACCAAGTATTTATTGACTACTTTGTGTTGAGACTAAATGTGTAGATTCCAACTGAAAATTGAAGGTTATCCTTTGCTTAACGTCCTAGTTTGTTGTGATCGTGGGTGATAAAGTGGAGGGATATTCCCGTTTCTCCCTCAGTTCTCTCACCACTCAATTTGTGTGTAGGTTTTTGGGTTTGCCCTCTATACCCGTTGCTCAGAGGTTTGGAGATGCAATGCCTCAGAATCACCTGGGGTCTTCATTTTTTAAATTCAAGTCCAGCGCCATTATGGAGATGGAACTGATGTGACTCAGCCCCAGGTACCATACTGATCACCTCTGGTAACTACACTAAGACTTGTCAGTGAACCTACGGTACTTGTAAGAGGTTTTCTGACAGTGCTAGAAATTTAGTAGATTTGGACGATAGACATTTAGGTTAAATGTTTACATCAGTATTCCCTGTATGAAGGGGGAGATGAGATGGAGGAGGGATTGAGGCTGCCAGTTCCAGCGTGGGGGTAACCTTAGAAAGAGCAGCTCTACCAGACACTGCATTGCTATCTCGGAAATGATGGCTACTTTAACTGAAATCCCATCTGCAGCCAACAGTAACCAGAAAATAACTTTTAAATCTAGTGCTGTGGGGGAAAATATTAAAAAAAAAAAAATTAAAAACACAAAAGCCAGTTGTCACTCAAAAGATTAAGCCTGGCCTCCACACAAACCTGTGTCTACTGTAGTACGATCAGGCATAAAACTTTACGTTTGCTGTGAGCGAACCTAAGGGCTGGCTCTCTACTAGAGGAGAGAACACAGGACAGTATATTCAGCAGTTTCATTTTTGCCATGACCCGGTCAGACAGAACAAAACCACTCTGCAAGTGTTTGGAAGAATTTATTTTACAAAAGAAAAGTCCACCTCTGAACCAGCCAAGTTTAAAGTTAAAAGAAGGGTACAGCTTCACTTCTGGATAATGTGTCTGTATTCACTCAAAGCCACTGAAAAGGAAGAGAGAGGAAATCAATTCCTAAAAGCAGCTCTACCACCCTCCAAAGCCCTTTCTGCCCAGAGACGTCTTCTGGGTGAGACCTCCAGAAAAGCCCAACTCTTGCAATCCAAGGTGCCCCCCAACTCTTCCAGCACCTGTTTTTTTCTGTTGTAATTTTCAATTACCTTATCATGTGGGCAATATCCCAGTTGGTCTCAGCAGACAGTGGTCCCTCTATTTCAACACCTTTTTCTGTTACAGTGGCGACTTGAAACTGAAAGCAAGCAGACAACTCAATGAAAATGCCCGCCCCACATGAGGGAAGGGCCTGGTAAAAAGTTCAAGTAGAGGGACTTCCCCAGTCTGAAAACAAAGAGAGAAATGAGACAATCTCTTCTTCAAAGCTAGAGACCCAGAGGAATTAACTGCAAGTATCAGAGCCAGCCAGTGAGACCCCCAGCATCTTGACTCCTCACCCGATTATAGGAACGGGCATCTCGATAGTACAACACCCGCATGCAGCGTTCCACTAGCTCTCGGGCCTCCGCCTGGCTCACCACGGGCTGCTTCTCCAGAAATTCTCGCAACAGAGGCTAGAGAGATGAGGGGGAAGGGGGAACACGGGATGTATCCGGCTGAAAAAACAGGTTTATCTCAAATCCACAGTATAAAGTACAAAGAATAAACGGTAAAGTCCACCTACTGCCTCACCAAAATAACTGCCTGTGTGTGCTATCACCCCCGTGAAGTTCTAGGGTGTCTTCTCGCTATACAAGTCTAGTGACTTGTTCACATGCCCCCTCGTCGCTGGAATGTAAGGCCAACACACAGCCTCGGGACCACAGAGAAAACCACCTGCTCACCAGCAGGGACGCGAGCCTGTTCCTCATGTCAGAATTCCAGGGAAGAACAAACAGTAACCCCCACTGCCTTGGCCTCCCTCACCCCCACCTGACTACTTACCTGAGCCAAGTATGCACCATAACCAGTGGCCAGCGAAGGCGCTTCGTAGGCTACACCAAGCATGTCCACATAACCGAGGAAGCTAACAGGACATAAGGGTGGAAGGGTGGGGGGTTTGAGTTACAAGTGGGATTCACTTGGGGGTAAAAGACACTACGCAGGCACTAGCTGGGCAGTCAAGCAAGTTATGTGTACTCCAATCAACCTCTCTCCATCAGCATAGCCGCCAATGACCATGGTGTTCCAGAGGGGATTCATCTTGGAGCGGCGGCTGTACATGGCCCTGGTCAGCCAGGAATGAATGGCTTTGGGGCTGTAGCTGTGTCCGTCTCCCAACAGCTCCTCGTCAATCCTGAAAAGAAAGTGCTTGTGAGAAAAGGGACACAATACGAGTCTGGATTTCCATCCACCCCCAAAGGAAATGCCCACAGTCGGCTCCATCTTCTACTTTCTCTAATGCTGGACACTATCCGTTGCAAACACTCACCATTTCCACCTCCGACAATTCTCCCTTCTTCCCCAGCAGCCCATCCCTTCTAACGGGATTAACAAACTGGATTCCCCTCGCCTCCTGGATGCCTATTCTCCGGATGACTTACACCATCTGGCCGAGAACCTGCTGCAAATACTGGAAATCAGCGTAGTCTCCGGAGGCCCCCAGCATGGTGCTGTTGTTAACGCGCATAATGCGAGAGATGTTGCGGAAACGAGCCAAGGACCCGTAGGAGCCCAGCATGTCGGCTGCAATCACCACTCCGCCCTCGAACTTGACCCCGAGGACCGAGGTCCCGGTCACCATGGGGTTCCTGCAGAGTGAGAAAGGGCTGGCGACGGGCGGCGCGGAGGAGGGGCCTGCGCCCCCCAGACCCCGCGCGCTGGGCCCCCGTTCGCGCGCCCCGGTCCTCGCTTCCCCTTCGCCGGCTCTTTCCGAACCGGCCGGCGGCACCAGGCCCCACGGTCCCTCCCCCGACGCGAGTCATGGCGCCGAGAACTTACTGGGTCCGCGTACTCGGACCCCCGTAGGGCGCGGATGCCACATCCACGAAGGAACTGGGAGAGGGCGGGATGCGGTAAAACTGCCCCAGAGCCGGGCCCCCGGCCCAAAGTCCCGACCGCGACTCCAGGAACGCTTCCATCTTAGTCACGATAGCACAGGAAATGAAAGCGCTTGAGCCGACGGAAGCGGAAATGGTTCTCCAGTGCCACACGTCTCTTCTTCCTGCAGGCCACCTCCAGCCGCCATGTTGATGAGGTCACGGCCGAGCATATGCACTCCCTGAGTGACGTTGCTTCGCGGAGTTGTAAATGTCCAACATGGTAGAGCTAGTCCGTGCTAAGCTTTGGGCTAGATCAGAGTGTTCTGACACGCAGATTCAAGAGGAGGGTGGTGCGGGGAGTGGCCAAAACGCTGACCTTGAACTAAGAGGCAGAAATCTCGTGATCCGTTTTTGATCATTATAGAAAAGCCCTACATGAAAATAACGATGAACCCAGGACCTCCTATATTTGAACTCCTCAGAGCAGCTCTAATCAGTAGGCATTAATCGACCCATTTTACAAATAAGAAACCGAGGCTTGTGGTTTAGTAATTTACCCGACCACACAGCCAGTAATGGGAGAACTGAGTCTTCAAATCCAGAATAAAAGACGAACCTCACGGGTGTGTCCACCCTGGGTGTACGGTGGCTCGGGTCGAGCACTCGCTCTCTGTGGCACCCTGGACAAGTCTCTGAACGTTTCCTTATTATCCAATGTCCTTGCTCACCTCTAAGCAGTAGGAAAACTCCATGGAAACTGTGGGACTGAAACGAAATTCCAGGGAAAGCATGAAATGGTAAAAACTACTCAACTGAAAAAAAAAAAAAATAAGTATTTTATTAAGTGATGATCCCCTGGGAAAGGAACGGTCAGGAGCTTGCTGTCTCAGAGGCTTCCAGCTGACACTCTTTGTGTTACCTTTCGGTCTGGAAAAATACGTATTCCATTTTCTCCTCCAATTAATAGCCACCCCTCCTCAAAAGTCCATATTCCGGTTGACTCTTGGGCCACTCAGAGGGTTACTTGGACACGACAATGGGCTTACTGGGATTTCTCCAAAATCCCTAGGACAACTGGTTCTTCCTAGCAACCAGAGTCCTGATCTGATCATGTGATCCTAGGAATCAGTTATATGATCATAGGAGCTTAGAAGTGGCCTGAGGTGGCTTGCTGATCTCTCTCACTCCTTTTTAGGTCCCTAAATGAAGACTTTGGTGGGGCCAATACCGATTCCAGAGATCGGAAAAACCAGTTACTCTTTTAAAGAATTTTAAATGCCTAGTGAGATAACTCTGGTCTCCCCTGCATCTTGGAGCTTAAACAAGGGACTCAGTCCTGGTGGTAACCATTTGGCCCACATTGGGGAGATGACAGAATTTTTATTATTTGTTTGGATCACAGCAATTAACTAGACAAATGAAAACAGATCTAATTCTCATGGTATGTGAAGAGTCTCAGGAGGGTAGGGTTTTTACATAACTATTGAGAAATTCAGGGAAGTTTTGTTCCCCATCTCCACACGCCCGCCAAAAAGAGTAACCGCTATTTTGGCTTCTTCTGACAGTGGAGATTGCTTTTCCCTGTTTTTGAATTTTATATAAATGGAATCACACAGTATGTATTCTATTTTTTAGTAATTTTTTTTTTTTGGTGAAAATATGCACAGCAAGACATATACCCATTCAACAATCTCTACATGTACAATTCAGTGACGTTGATTACATTCTTCAAGTTGTACAACCTATTCTTGATATCCTTTTCCAAACTGTTCCTCCACCATTAATATAAACTGACTGCCCCCTAAGCTTCTCATCTCGCCTTTTGAGTTGTTGTTGTCAATTTGATCCCATATAGATAATTCTCTAAAAGAGCACAATGTTCAAGGCAGACACTCTTTACAAATTAAGCTAACCTATTGTCGTACGTACTGTTTTGGGTCTGGTTTCTTTCTGTCAACATTATGTTTGTGAGGTTCATCCGTCCTGTTATAGATGTGGCTCATTTATTTTCATGGCTGTATATAATATTCCATTGTGTGAATTTACCATAATTTATCCATTCTATGATTGATGAGCATTTGGGTAGTTCATATTATTTGACCTTTACAAATTGTGTTACTATGAATATTATAGTGCATATTTTTTGCTAAAGGTTTTCACATTTCCGTTAGACTCATATGCCACTCAGGGACTCAATACCCGGTAGTAGAATTGCTGGATCACGGGGTACAAATTATGTTCAGCTTTAGTAACCAGTCATCCAGTTGCCATCAGGTCAATTTTGACTCATGGCAACCCAATGTGTTATGTTCCCTAGGGTTTTCAAGACTGGTACTTTTTGGAAGCAGATCACCAGGCCTTTCTTCTGAGGGTGCCTCTGAGTGGGCTCAAACCACTAACCTTCTGTTAGTAGTTGAGTGCTTAACCATTTGCACTACCCATGAGTTTTCCAAAAGGTTGTACCAATTTACACCAATATATGAGAATTTCCATTTTTCTAACAGTTTATATTTTCTCCTTTTCATTTTTATCGATTCTGGTAAGTAGTGGTATTTTACTGTGGTCTTAATTTGCATTTCCTTGAGGTTAATGAAATTGCGCACCTATTCACGTGTTTATTGGCCATTTAGATATCATCTTTTGTGAAGTGTCTGTTGAGGCCTTCACCCATTCTCCATTATATTGTCTTTTTTTATTGATTTGTAGGAGTTCTGTATAAATTGTAGATACAAGTTCTTTGTCAGATATATGTGGGTTGCTTCTCCATTCTTTTCATGGTACCGCTTATGAACAGACGTTCTTAATGTTAACATATTCAAATTTATCCATTATTTTCTCTTTTAAGAAATCTTTGCCCACTCCAAGGTCATGAAGGTACGCTTCTCTGTTTTCCTCAAAAACAACATTGTTTTACTTTTCACAGGTAGATGTGTGGTCACCTGGAATTGATTTTTATGTATGGTTTGAGAGAGGAGTCCAGGTACAGTTGTTTTCTATACGAACAGCCAATTTATCTAGCATCATTTGTTGAAAAGGTCACCTTTTTTCTACTTTGCACATTCAGGCAAGTTGTGTGTGTGTGTGTGTGTGTGTGTGTGTGTGTGTGTGTTTCTGAATTCTCTATTTTGTTCTATTGGTCAGATTTTCTATTATTGTGCCAATTTTACTCTGTCTTCATCACTAAACCAAAAAAACCAAACCCATTGCCATTGAGTCGAGGCAGGACCAAGATGGCGGAGTAGTCGGATGCTTCCGGTGGACCCTCTTACAGCAAAGACCTAAAAAAAACAAGTGAATCAATTATATATGACAGTCTAGGAGCCCTGAACATCAAAGGCAAAGTTGAGGAACTGGATTGAGTGGCAGGGGGATGGAGAGAAGTTTGGAAGCAGCGAGGAGTTGCCAGACCTGACCTGGCGAGAGCCTGAGCCCTTCAGGCCTGATTAGCTCATGGGTGAGCCGTGAGGCAGGCAAGCAGCGGTGCTCTGGAGGTGTATTCCGCACCAGGAGAGACCCAGCGGCAGAGAGTCTACTCGGCCACCTAGAACCAGTGAGAAGCAGCCCTCGATCGGGGAAAGATAAGTACTTGAGTACAGCCTACTGCATGGATCAAAAACACCCCCTGAGGGAAAAACCTCTCTCCCATTTACCTCCCCACTCCCTGCTCTGCACTGGGTCCAGGACCGGCTTCAGCAATTGCTGTGTCCCTGGGCAGGAAGTAGGATCTGTCACACGCCCGGAGCCATTCTCCCTGCCTTGGAGAGTGAACAAATTAACAAATGGGAAAAAAGAAACTGCCAGTTCCCCTAAGCCAGGAACCCAGGGTAGGCACAGCTCCTTTGCCTAAGCACAGCCATAAGGGACCCACAGACTTTGAGTGCCCTTTCCCCTGCAGAAAATTGTGTGGGCCCATTTCAACAGTGTAGGCCCTCATTACTGCAGTACAACAGGGTATATACCTGAAGTCTAACTTCATCTTTCAGCTGTGAAGTGGCACGTTTGTGACATTTGACACTGCTCTGCCCATTAAGCAGGGTCTTCACCTATCCACATAAGGGGCCTGAGGACTGGTGGCCCCACCCACGCCACCTAGCCACCTGTGATGGGGCCCATGAATAATAGGTCCCCCCCACCCCAGTCCTAACAGCCAACAGCATTGGGTGCTCATAGTCCGGCTGCAAAACCCACCCACCTATGCACTCTAGGGAACAGGGACATGCCTTCCTCCTGGACACTCAGGGGCAGCCATCAGCCCCCTGCCTTGCTCAGAGTGTGTCCCCCTGCTGCAGCCAGATGCCTGTGCCTACACCAATCACCCATGCCTGTCTAGGACTGTAAGTGAGAGCCTACACCACACACTTGGTGGCTGTCTACCTGGGCACCTGAGCTGAATCCATACAGGAGGAGTGGGTGGGCTCCTGAGCTCACATACCTAGTAACAGATCTAACCACCTGGTGACAGCACAGTAGAGCTTCAAAGGTGCCGATAATCAAACTAGCTCACACAAGCAGCCTATTTGGGTGTATCAAAACAAAAGAAGAAGCTAGGACACAGTAAGCAAACATAAAATAAATAACTATAATAACTTATTCATGGCTCAGTGGCAACAGTCAATATCAAATCGCATAAAGAGGCAATCCATGATGGCTTCAGCAAGCTCCCAAAACAAAGAATCTAGAAATTTCCAGAGGAGGAAAATTTCTTGGAATTACCAGAGGCAGAGTACAAAAGATTAATATACAGAACTCTTCAAGAAATTAGGAAGGAAATCAAGCAAAACGCAGAACATGCAATAGAGGAAATTAAAAAGATTAGAGAAGAACATAATGACAGATTTAACACGCTGCAAGAATCCATAGAGAGACGGCAATCAGAAATCCAGAAGATTAACAATAAAATTTCAGAATTAGACAACTCAATAGAAAGTCATATGAGCAGAATTGAGGCAATGGAAGTCAGAATTAGTGAGATTGAAGATAAAGCACTTTACACCAATTTATTTGAGGAAAAATCAGATAAAAGAATTTTTAAAAAATGAAGAAACCCTAAGAATTATGTGGGACTCTATCAAAAGGAATAACCTATGAGTGATTGGAGTACCAGAACGGGGGGGATGA